AATGTGTGTGTGTGTGTGTGTGTGTGTGTGTGTGTGTGTGTGTGAAGCCTCATGGAACTCTTCCACTTAAAAAGTCTCCCTAGCACCCCCTCAACAAGTATACTCCCATGAAAAAGTCATCCATGCGCACATGTCATTCAGAGAGCTATAGGCCACCTGGATGCGGGTGCGATGGCACATTTGTGTGTGTGTGAGCACAGTGGGATCACAGTACTTTGCTGGTAGAAAAGTAGATAATGAACCAACATGACCAGACACAATCAAAAAAATAAATAAATAAAATAAAAACCACAAACATCCACTCCTCTGTTTCCCCTTCCTTCACTCCCTACCCTTCTTCCACCCATGTGTTGCCATGGTAACTGCTCCTGGGCAGTCTCCTGCGGATGTTTTCACACACACACACACACACACACACACACACACACACACACACGAACACACAGATACACTTCTACTGATGCTATTTGATAAAGGATCTGCCGCAGCCAAAACTTATTAAGAATGTGTTTAACCTTTACTGTGTTGGGAATACATAACCACAGTCACAGCATTGTCTTCAGTTAGTCTTGTGCACGTTTTTGAAAAACAGCAGCTGTCAATACCAAAATRAACCATTGTGAGAAGCCATAATAAAATGTGTGAGTTTATAATAAATTAATTACTGGTCATGTTGTTGATACTTCTTAATTTTCTCTGCAGCTGTTTAATACATGTTTATATCATTAGTTGGCGTTTTGGTTTTATGTAGCAATCTGGACCAAAAAAAGACAAGTTAATCTTTTTGTTTGGATACTGTATTGATGGCCAGACTGACAGCAAAATTTTTGAATGGTTCCCTTGCTGTTCTTGTGTGTAATRAAGCCATTTTTGTAAATGTGTGATTAAAATAGAAAAATAGTTACTCATATAAAGATGATTGCATGTATTATTCAACTTTTGTAAGTCACAAGTTTAAAGTTGAAGCCTTCATAATGTTGACAAAAAGGTAATGATGCAAATAATATTAACACAAATGAGTGCTTACGTGTTCTACCTTTACAATATGTGTTTTATTTTTCTTTTTTTTTCTTTCTTTTTTTTTTTTTTTTTTTTTTTTTTTTTTTTTTTTTTTTTGTAGCGGTTGGGCTTACCACTTGTCCAGAACCAATGATTCCAGCCAATGGCATTAAAGCAGGAGACAGATATATGGTCAATGAGGTGGTGGCTTTTAGCTGTGAACCTGGGTACACACTACAGGTATGCTTGAAAAAAAAAATATCACCTTGCAACATTTGAAATCATTAAATTAGATTTTAAGTTTTTTTTTCTCAACAGTTTTTTTTTGTCCTTTTTTTAAGTAGCATGAGGGCAAGATAAATGTTGATCACTGAAAAGCAAAGACTACGTTCAGGTGCCAAGTGGTGTCTACAACATAAAACATCCACATTAAAACACTGCAGTTTCCATATTGATTGCTTTTCTACTTGAATTAATTCCATGTCCTATTTGCTTGGCCTTATCTAAGGAAAAATGGAAAAAGTCCTCTAAAATGTTTTTAAAAAATCAAGTTTTTAACTGTTTGGTAAATTTATTTAAAAAGAAAAATGAATTGATTATGACATACAGTATAAAACATCTCCTACTGTTTATCCCCTTAATTTAAATGCTATCTAACATTTTCAGGGCCACTCGCACATTTCCTGTATGCCTGGGACAGTGCGTCGGTGGAACTACCCACCACCTCTTTGCATAGGTACAGTACACACAGTAACATTATACTGCTGTCTGAATGGCCCCACAAATGAACAATGTAGACAGGATGTGTTTGTGTGTGTGATGGAGGTGGGAGTGATGCAGTCTAAGTGGGAACTTTACAATGTGCTGCAATATAACAGAAATGTTAACAGAGTCAGAGACTTTGCCACAGTCTAAATAAATTTGAATAATAACCTTATGATGGACCAATGAAAAGGTTTCTTTTATTGATTATCACTCATTTTGCCATTTTGTCTCCTGGCAAACATTTTGTTAGAACTGATTTATGATGGTAATTTAGCTAGGTTAAATTAGATCAGATTTGTGAAGTTAAAAAAAGCACAAACCAAGATTTTTCACACCGGTGTTGGCTCAGCTATCAGTAGGAATTAAAAGTCTGCTGGCTAAGGACACCATGGTGGTTTGTACTATGAGAGCCAAGGCATCCCAGCATTGACAACAGTGATGAGGGCCCTTAATATCTATTTACCTAATTTCCCTCTGGGATCAATAAAGTATTTTTGAATTTGAATTGATTTGAATTAAAACCATTTATGTTTGCTTTTCAAGTTATTAGGTTTAATACTTGATCAACGCTTTCTTCTAAGACACATCCACACTGAGTTAATAAACTCAGTGTGGATGTGTCAAGACTATTTGAACTAAGTGTTGCAGTCTTTGTAGACATTGCATGATTCAGTTAGTGAGTATTGCCCATAGTTTTGAATATAGATCACTAGGCCGAGCCCCACCCATCCCATCCACTGGTAGCGTCTGTGACAGCATGGAGGAGCAAAAATGGTGTCCAAAAAGGGCAACATCTTACAGCCTCCATAGAAACTAATAGATAAACAGCAAGCTGAACTGGATCTGTTTCACAAATAATCTGTCGTGTTTTTACAGTGAATTAATTACTATGTTAATTTCATTTAACAATCTTGTTAAACCAGAAAAATATTTAATTTATAAGTAACAATGATCTAAACCAAACCTGAAGTCAGCCTGTAACTTAGACTTTAGCTAGTTGAAAAATGATGACTTCAGCTAGTAATAAAGTWTATTTATTATTTCTTCTCACCGTCATAAAAAATAATAAATATTTAGCTGTCACTTAGAAAATGTTCTCTGTATACCTGTTATAGGATGAAACTTGCCTCTATTAGCTAACCAACAGGTCAGGTTCCTCTAACAGGAACCTAAAAATACTTACATTTATAATATTATTTTACACTCTGTAGGTCTAAATATTAATCAGAGGACAAGGTAATTTTTATTAGTTTGTGTTAAATTGTAGCATGATTCAACTGTGCTACACTGTATAGCTATATAGTATGCTGCACAACCAATCTGCTAACCAATTCAATAAAAAACAATGATTACATCGACCTTATAAGCTTATTTTAATTTTAAACTGTTACATTATATTCTGGTCAGATCACATTGGGCTAAATAAGATCAAATCTGCTGACTTGTGTTGTGAAATGAGACGTTTCCCTGTTTATCTTCTGTTAATAAATACATAACACAAACAGCTTTTCTGGCATTATTCAAAACATTAGATAGATTACAAAAACTGTAAAATATTATTAATGATTGGGTTAATATTATTATTAATAGGTTTTTTTTATGATTTCTACATCGTCAGTCCTTTTTTTCCTGCTCTGTTGTCAACATGTACAGCAATGGGAAACCCAGACTCTTGACCGTTTTGTGTTAGCCTTTAGCTTCACCAGCCGATCACACAGTCACGTGGTTTCTGAGCACTCCAGCTGTTCTATATAAACTCCTTGGTATTGCCTCAGTCCATTCATGCTGAAAGTTAGTAGCAGTGAGTGTGTCGTCAGTTCATCTGTTAACACTGTGCTTTTTGTGGGTGTGTTGTCAGCACGCTGCGGAGGGGTCCTGTCCAAGATGAGTGGTGTCATCCTTAGTCCAGGTTTTCCTGGCAACTACCCTGGTAACCTGGACTGCACCTGGCAAATCACCCTGCCAGCTGGWTATGGTAAGCCTCTTATAATGGGAGGTAGGAGAATTCCTTAAGAAAATGTAGCTTTAAATGTATCAGTTGACAAAATCGGGAAACACAGCTTTTCACTAAATTTGCAGCAGATTCACCATGGGTTAACTAAAAGCTGACTTGTAAACAGGACAAGTAACATTTTAAGTACTTGCATTTCCAGAAGTAACTGTATATAACTGGTATAATATTTATTAAAACTTATTTCCTTTAGCTGTAGAAAGCAATAAAAAAGAGGCCAATGTATATTTGGTTTAGTTGAGTTCTGTGAAAATGTACAAATAAACACATAAAAGGAAAAATATTTACAATAGTGTTTTTACAATTCAATTTTATTTACTTMTTTTCAGCGTATGCATGTCTCAGTGCTGCATGCATATAATGAAATTAACTAAATGCTTAGTTTGTTGTGGACTGTTAGGTGCTGAAGTCATTTCTCTAACACTGATGCATTTTATGTGTGCTTTGTTATATTACCATAATTCATCTCGTGTTATATGTGTTCCAGGAGCTCATATTCAGTTCCAAAACTTCTCATCGGAAGACAACCATGATTTTTTAGAAGTCAGAGCTGGACCACAGCACAGCTCTGCTTTAATTGGTCAGTTTAGCGGCTCACAGATTCCACCTCCCTTGATGAGCACTACCCACTTGACCACCCTCCACTTCTACAGTGACCACTCTGAGAACAGACCAGGATTCAAACTGACTTACCAAGGCAAGTTCCAAAATGATCACATTTTACATTCATATTATATTAAATTCAAGTTAAAATAAAAAATGTCTACAAGTATTTTCAAGAAAAAAATGTGACAATGAGAAAAAATAAATTCTGAATTCGTGATAAACCCTTTTATTTTGTCTAAGAAATAAGAACCCAGTGGTTTCTCAAATGATTAAGAAATGGTCTCAAAGATCAGAATAAATTAACATCTCCAACCTCGTGGCCGAATTACAAAGCCCTACCAACACCACACGTGATTTATAAGATGAAGAAACAAAAAAAAAAAAAAAAAAAAAAAAAAAAAAAACATATTGCTATGAGGCTTTGTGCTTTGAACCATAGATGAGTAATGCTAAAGGCTTTAAAAAAAAACTTATGGCTTTTCTTTCATCATTAAAAGAGATGGATTGCCAGTAAGCCCCAGTGAGAGACTGACATCTTGTCCAGGAGTTTTTTTTTTCTTGCACCCCGAAGTGTTTCACTTCAAAGATAGAATAGATGTTCTGTGGTACTTTATGGCAGCATAACTAGAACAAGGCTTACTTCCTTACATGTAAGAGAACCCTCATTTCTGCACACATACTAGTTTTCTTTTTTGTATGTTAACTCTTCTAGCAGTACCTGTGACCCTCCAGTGACTTTTGCATTTGGGGAATGCCAGCATGCTTTGTTAAAATTTGTTGCACCCTGTGACACCTGACAGCAAAGTTGCCGCGTGTTTTTGGCAGGAGGACACGGAGCACACAGAAGCTCATGATTCTACCTCCAGCCTGGGTTCATACTTTCATTCCAGCACCATTATACATCACATGCAATTTTGTGCATAAGTCCTGGAGGGTTTGCCACTCAGGAGACTCTGTAATTGTGTGCACACCAGTATGACTCAAGCTGGATAAGTGCTCAAGCCAAAAAAATTGACTGCTAATATTCTGGGAAAAGAAGCCGCTTACTAACATTTGCACCCAAGCGTTACTCATAAAAGCTAAAGTGAGTTCTGATTCCAGTTTTAGGCTTTGGCATCTGACATTGTGGTGCCTCTAGGTGCACATCTACACACAGAGATTTTGAAAGTTGTTTCTGGCGTTAGTTGGAGCCAAACACTTGGCTGGAGTTTTACAACTGTGGGTACATCTGCGACCATGAGCACTTCTTCTGGCCTACATACATCACAACTTTTTCCACTTTTTTTCTTATACCCACTGTAATTACCCACTACTACTGACATTTCTTTCACTTGGGACCTCTACATCTATCATCATCACTTTTGTTTTTGTTCTATTTTTTGCAACATCCCCTTAGATTCTTGAATATTTGTTAAGCTCTCACACTCTGGAAGTTGCTCACAATTATTTTTGTCTTACTCATAGTTACACGGTCAAGTCAATTAATTATGATTGATGATTTAATTGAGATTGGCGTACTAAGTTGATTACCAGGTGGGAACATTCATTAGGCAGTACAGTGTTGTTACATATGACACTTCACCCTTTTCTCAGCAAACAGCACTCCCTGTGATTAGGGTGCCTTGCAGGGGAACTCGGTGCAACACAAGCAGACCTTAAACAAAGKTGAGCAGAATAATAAGCTGAATTTTGAAGGAACATGCTGTAATTTCTAAGACACACACAAAAAAATAAATAAATAAACAAAAAAAACAGCAAGGAGCTTGCTTAAAACGTAAATGCTTATTGGCTGTCTCACACTATGGTAAGAGCATGCACCCCACTTTCTTCATTTGCTATTTATTTTGAATAGTATATAGTAAAAATGGCCATTAAAACACACACATTGGTTGCCCTTTAATTTGTGGTACAATTGTTTTTTTTTTTTTTTTACACATTTTGAAGAGAGAAATCTGTTCTAACTGCTTAGATGCCACTGCATCCAACTAAGTCTCAGTGATTCATCTTTGCACAGTGCACTCTGTGGCTGCTGTCTAGTACTGCACAGTGTTTGCATTGACCTTGTGCTGAGTTCTTTTCAAGTGCTGTTAGGTGCTGCCTTTTTTGTTGTCTTTTGTGGTTGCAAGGAATCCAGTGTCAGCCACCTCTGTTCACTGTGGAAGCCGAGTTAAATGGAGGAGCTTAACTTGGCATGACACGCGTCCCGAGTGAGATGTGCCCTTAATAGATCTGTGGTGCTGATATTTCCTCAAGCAAGCACTGACATGTTCTATACATGTGTGCATAACTGTGTAGAAAGACAAAATTTTATTTTTTTATTTTTTTATGTTGATGTTTTGTTGTCTGCCGGTAATAGATTTTCCAACGTTTTTTAATGGATTGGGCAGCTTGTGTGTTGCCCTTTTTTGTCTATTTTTTTTAAGTCTAAAGGAAAGTTTTAAGTTTGAAAAAAAAAACAGCTGAAAAGATGGTATACAACTACATGCACACTGTATTTATTGACTGCTGTACAACTGTACACTTGGCAACAAGGTCTTCAAACATAAACTCTCCCTAATGTGCCAATGTCAAAGCCAAGGTCATTTTAAATAATAACCATTCCATTACTCATTTTCYGTGTATTTTGTCTTTAGCTTATCAGCTTCAAAACTGCCATGATCCTGCTCCTTTTCCCAATGGTGACATCATCAAAAGTGACTACAGTCCTGGCCAATCAGTGACGTTTCAGTGCTATCCTGGTTATGTYTTGGTTGGGCACACAGTGCTATCATGCTTACATGGAACAAATCGCAAGTGGAACCACCCATTTCCTCGCTGTGAGGGTAAGAGCAGTCATTATCCTCTGTTTTATTTATTTATCTGTTTTGATAAAGTCTCCTATATGTGGATTTAATATACCACGAATATTTAGAATGCACTAATATACCACAATCAGGTGAACAATCATTTAGCTATGTGTGTTTATGTGGCTATGAACGTCATTTAGATAGATAGATAGATAGATAGATAGATAGATAGATAGATAGATAGATAGATAGATAGATAGATAGATAGATAGATAGATAGATAGATAGATAG